ACTCCCTCCCAACTTAGTGTCATCTGCATCTCCAGTACTTGTTGAGTCCTTCAGAGAATGGCAGTATATGAGAGAGAGACGATGTCCCTTTGCAGAGGCAGTTTTGACTCTTCCAAAAGTTGTACGTATTGTTGTGCATTCTAACTCTGTTTTCTAGTTTCTACGAACTTGCATATTATAGACAATTATTTTTTAAAAAACACTCACACAGATAGCACTATTCCATCCAGCTTTTAGTGATGTCATCAAGTTGGTTGATTGAAAAGCAAATTTGCTGCTTCGGATAGCAGCTATTCCGTAATAGATCCAATCTTAGATGGAGATGATTTTAAAAATAGCATTGTTGTGACTACTGTTTCTTCTTTTTCAATTTTAGCTGTCCCTTTTCCACCAACACATCGCTTGACGTCTGAAGAAGTGTTTGACACAGATGGAAGACCAAGGGTTGATATTTTGAAGAACCACTTGATAAAAGAAGGTCGAGTGGATGAAGAAATTGCACTTCGAATCATCAATGAGGGTGCTGCAATATTACGGAGGGAAAAAACTATGATAGAAGTTGAAGCTCCTATTACAGGTAATGTTTCTAGATTATTTCACTCATAATTAAATTTGAAAAAAGCCAGATTTTTTCAGTAGCAGAGTTTGTCTTAAAAATTGCTAAAATAAAATTTCTGTGTAATCTTCATTGAATTATCTCTCACAACTGCATTTGTTTAACAGCACTCAAATGGTCTGAAAAAATACGCTGCACATTATTTTGCAAAATGAAGGCATTAAAACTATTGGAAAAAACAGTATGATTGGTAGTAAAATGGCAAAATATAAAGTAGTTAAATGCTGATGAATTACAGATTTCTAATTCTTGCAATGTAAGTGGGCATAAAGACATCTACCTGGAATAGAAAAATGAACTCAGAATTACCTGAAATCTAAATATGTGAAGAGAAGCTAATTGCTGTGGTTTGAAGCAAATACTGTGAACTGGAATTCTGAGTGAAAAATACGTGTTTACAGTTTGTCTGTAGGTGAGACTGATGACTGCTTGTAAAACCATGTTCTTGTGAGGGTTGTAGTCCTGGAGAGTGTCGAAAGATTGTTCTAGCATCTTTAATGCACTAGGACCAGATCCACTATGATACAAAAGTGACTCTTGGGGTTTTTTGGAGTATTTTCATGGTTTGACCAGTTATATTTCTGCTTGACCTGGTGGAAGGTGGAGTTGGTGTCCTGTAGTACTTTTATTTATAAATAATCCAGACTCAGAGAAAATAATTGACCTTGCATATCTGTTATGTATGATAATGAAATTAGATTGGATTTTTGTGTTGGAATCGGATTTTCTTTCATATGAGTTTGTTTTCTTTTATATGGGCCTAGATATAATTAGTATGTGAAAAGCTTATTTTAGGGCATCAGCTTGCTTTAATTTGTTAGTATCACATAAATGAAAACAATTAAACAGTACATAATTATTATTGAGGTTTTTTTTTTAAATGATTGAAATTTTGGAAACTACTAAGTGACTGTCTGAACTCAGAGTCTTTTGAAGCTCCAGATAAAGCTCAAAACTACAGTGTTGTCCATATGTTTTGAATTTTTGTATTTCCGCTTATCCAGAGCTACTGGTATATTGGCAGCTGAAAAAGAGGGGAAGTTCCTGCAATGTTTGAGTAGAAATCTTAGGAAAAGTGACATAAAAGAAGGCAGATTCCATTTAGTCTAATATTTTGTAGGTCATGATGACAAATGGTCTGCTCCAAGGGAATAACAACCTTTAAAGTGTGGTGTGTCATATCCAATATTTCTTTCCAAAATTAGAACAACTTTTTTTCCCCAAAAAAATTTACTGATAAACTCTGAGAAGTCACAAGATGCTATTCATCAGTTGATCAGTGACATTTTGCGTCAACAGAAAGCATGGTCTCTCAAGTTCCTGTTAATTGCTTTCAGCAATACCTCATGCAGAAGTGAGAAGACAGCTCCTGACTTCTGTTGAGCTGGGAAGTCCTTTGGGAATGAGGAGTTAGGAGTAGTTGTCTCTTCCATACATTTTTAAATTAGTTTTTCTTAAAATTTGTGAGATGACCTGGCATTGCTGGATGCTCTTCAAAGTCTTCCCATCTACTGTCTTTGGCACTTCTGCCTTAGGTTGCTGACCACTGGTGAACGTGGTTATTTGAAAGAGAAAAGCAACTGAGCAAAGAGAAGATATGATGATACTAAAAGATATCTTAGTCTGATTCAGAAACAAAAGCAAACTCCCTGCTTTTTTCAATCCTACATGGAGACAGGAAGTTGTTGCAAAGCAGCAGGCATTTTCAAATATGGATACTGCAGAGAATTTGCAAAGGTGCCTGAGGGGTTGGGAAGGACAGTAAAGAGTTGCTGTCAACTTTCAAGACCTCAATGCTCAGTGCATTAACTGTGTCTGAAAAAGATTCCACAATGTGCTAGACTCAAATAGGACTATCGTCAGTGTTGTCACAGGCAGTGAGGACAGCGTCTTAATGAACAGCAAAGGAGGAAGTTTCAAAAATTTATGTTATTCCTGCTTTATACCTGCCTTTCTTCTTAATTAGAAGTACTTTGTGGCTGTTTACTTAACTATAACTTAGTAACTTTTCTGTTAGATTTTTTTTTTTAATTAATTTGAACAAAATTTTTGCTTGCAGTGTGTGGTGATATTCATGGCCAGTTCTTTGATCTAATGAAGCTGTTTGAAGTGGGAGGATCACCTGCTAACACAAGATACCTCTTCCTCGGTGACTATGTAGACAGAGGTTATTTTAGTATAGAGGTAACTGAATATATTAATGTCTTGTCCTAAGTTTTTCTATAAGCACACTTTCACGGAGGTTTTCAAATGAAACTTTAGGTCTGCTTTAACATGTGAATATGTTCTTCCTTGCTGTGCTTTCTCCTATGACAAAGGCCTGCTTACAGGAGGATATTGACCAGCTGTTTGGACTGTGCCGTCGAAATCACCAGACTTACTAATTTTTCCTCCTCTTTCTTTAGTTAGTTTTTAAAAGTTGAATTCTATAGTATTAGTAGACATAGTCCTGCTTCTCTGGCAATATGCAGGAAGGTGTGTTTGTATGTTTTTGGAGAACAGGTGAGTCATGGCTGCATGGACTTTTGATTTATTATGGCTGTTTATCTGTATGAAGTAGATTCATTTTACTTACATAATCAAATGTTTTTAAATTATTACTGTTTTACTTTACTAAAATTCTGAGGGCGATTACAGATATTCTCTAAGGATGACCTGTGTTTCTGCCATTAATTTTTCAGGTATTTTGAATTAAATTTTTTTTTTTTTTAAACTTTCAGCATGCTTATTAAGTATATGCTATATTCCAGCAATATTCACTTATTCATATCAATTAGTTTCAGAGCTATGATTTTTAAGTTAACTGTTCTTCTGGAACCAGCTTGGGAAGTGCCTCGGCTTGGGATCTCTTCATAGATACCAAATCTAATAGAGTGGCATATCATTTGATACAGTATTTTACAAGTCATGATGTATGATACTTCATTTCTGTGTTAAAATTACACTGTTCTAATAACATGTAGAGGTATATATTGTGAAGGACATGCACAATGCCTTTTGGGGTTGTTAGGGATGGTAGACAAGCAGGAGATGCAGCAAGAGTGATTGCCTTTAAGTAATTTATGAGGAAAAATTTCAACAGACATTCCCTATTTATTAATTCAATCTTCTTGGCCTCTTCTTGATGATTACAAATAATGTAACTGTCCTTGAAAAGGACATTTACATAGCAGCACTGTATGTTAATACATCAAAACATGGTACATTGCACTTAGAAAAAAACTTTTGAACAATGGATGTTCTTGAATATATTAATAAGAATAGGCTCATTTATTTTTTCTTCATATGATTTTAATTTAATTTTAATGAAATATTTGGCATGGTAAATATACTCTTGAAAACCACTCCAGCGTTCTTAAAAGGCTTTTCTCTCTTCATTGAGATAGTCTGATCTCTTCTGCTCTTGAGTGGCTGTTGGAACATCAGTGAAATACGTAGCAGATTATCTGAATGAAGTTGTATTGCTGCAAGCACATGATGGTGGGGCTATGCTTTGTGGTCCTGTTGAGAAAGAAAAAAGAAGTACATGAAAATCAGCCATTTTCAGTTCTCAGTTTTAACCTTAAAAATTTTTTCCTACTTAAGTTTTTGCCTTGATCAACATTTAGTTGATTAGTTGACCTCCAGGAGTTCTCATATACAGTTACTTAATATACTTTTGATAGAATATTTGGCTTTTCACAGAAAAGTGAAGCTGAAATTTTCTCAAAATGTGTGAACAGTGAAATTTGATTTTTCAGTAATAAATTCTTAATCAGTCTGTCCTGAAATCATATTTAATTGCATTGATATTTTAGTAGTAACCCATTTTCAATTGAAAAAATGTCCTCACTTCTAATAGGAAAGATAACTACATGCTACTGTGATTGTATATAATAATCTGCTGGGATCAAGATGAAATCCTTCACATAGGTGTGTACAAATTCTTCTTTTCTGTACTGGAAGTAGTAGGACGTAGAGAACTCTGACAATAGTCTGCCTGTATTTGATAATAGAAAATTACAGGAAAGGTAAAATATAAATTCTTTCTGTTCTTGATAGGTGACATACTTGAGAACGTGGAAATCTCAGCAATTTAATCGGATGTAGTATCTGTCCACTGAAAGAAAGGCACCATTTTGCCAGGTTTCTTTTGAATCTTTTCAAGATTGGCAGCTTTTACAAATTTTTCATACAAACTGACTTAACTAAAACAGTTCACAATTGTAGAATTTGCCAAATTAATTCATGTATTCATTTGATGATAAGCAGTTGATTTGTAAGAAACTGATTATGCTTTCTGCTGGGAAACAGTTTTAATAGTCTGAGGACTTTGCAGTAGATGATGATATTTTAGAGTTATGGAAACATTTGGAATCCAGTGGTATCATTAGAAAAATGACTATTTTTCATATTTTTACTAAGAAGATAAGAAAAAAGCAGGAATTAGTTTAGCTAAACTTCACAATTGAAGTCTTTGATGTATTTCCTCACTTTTGCTGTTTTTTTTAAGTGCTCCTTTATTTTCTTTGTTCCTTCATGTGCTTGTGTCTATGCAAAATAACTTTGAAGAATGACAGCTGCAGGATACTCGTATTGATTAAGAACAGTAATAATAACAACTTGCAGATGACCTCAACATAGCCTGGGGTTTTTTGATGTCTGTGCTCAGTTAAAAGTACAAGAATCAGATTTAAAATGTAAGAAATACATTTTGGGTATTCAGTCTGCTAGGTGATAGCTGACTCTAAACTGAAAAAGAATTGTGCTTGTTCTGTAGCTGTGTCCTCAACTCTGTTCGCTCCTGATGTTGCAATAGTAATGTATGGAAACTTAATGTAATTCATTGAATTTGCTACTTGAACACTGAATAAACAAATAGCTTATCCAGTTCTGGGGAAAAAGAGAGGTTTACTCCGTCCATTCTTTGTTTAAAAATGGTCTCCAAATGATATAGCTGAGTTTAATGTAAATAGTTTCACGGGGGTTTTTTCCTTCAATCTCTATTAAGAAATGTCTGCTTTCCTTCTTATGCCAGTGTTTAGAATCATGTTATAATACTAGATTTTAGGCACAAATACATGCATTATTTGTCTGGGTGAAAGTGTTCTGCAGTATAATTCTGCTGAGTTTATTTTATTATTGAGTGTCAAGTAAATATAAATATTTTTTTTCAGCATTCTGTGTGGTGGTTCTTAAGAAAATGAGGAATTTGTGTAACTCATGTCCAGAACTGGACCTGGGGAAGTAGTGCTGTATTTTAAAATGGCACATTAAGCTATACTTGCTTTTGAAGCTGTTAACGTTCTTAGTCAATGTTTCTCAGAAATATTTTTTTAAAGTTCTTATAAACTAGTTTATTTTACTGGATATCTTTGTTTTTCAACAGTGTGTTCTGTACTTATGGGTCCTGAAAATTCTCTACCCAAGCACGTTATTTCTTTTGAGAGGCAACCATGAGTGCAGACACCTAACAGAGTATTTTACCTTTAAGCAAGAATGTAAGTACTGTCTAGGAATGTAAAATTAGCTTGCTTACAACCTGCTGATCCACGGTCTGTCATTTTGCTTGAGAGATGTTTGTGAGTTTAATTGAGGTCTCGCAAACATTTGGAAGCCCTGTTGGCTTTTGTAGAATTACTTGCAGTTAAGTGTGGCATTGGAGCACAAGTTAAGTAGAATAGTGCTGCCTGTAAAGATACATTAGAGAGTGAATTTTTATGTATTAATCCTGATTTTAAAATCCTGGTGGAAGGAAGGTTCTTTTGCTGTCTTGGCAATAACCAGGAGTGCAAAGTAACTAGCTGAGCAGCATTGTGAGGCTACAAGAAAACCCTACTGTCCAAATTTGTCCATTTGGGGAACTGATTTCAACTATACAAGTAAGGTAACTCTTTGGGTGATGTGAGTTGCTCCACCATTCGGAGGCTTGTGTAAGTATTGATCCAGTGATAAATGGGTCGTTTACCCTGGTAAAACCCTCTTTGATGTAGGTAAAAGTGATGTAATCTATAAGCAGTTCTTAGCTTTTCAATGTAAATGAGAAATCACTAATTTCTCAGTAGTATTTTACACTGAAATATGCTGTATGATTGCACCGAAGTATTCTGTATGATTGTGTAATGCAAAATAATTCTGCGATTTTTTTAAAAAACCAAAAATGGTTTCTCCACACTTGAAATAACAGAAGAAGAAATGAATAAAAAATATAGTCCTGGAAGAGAATATGTCTTAGACATGGGCTTGCTGTTGTGTTTCGAAATGCTCATTTAAACCCAAAAATATTTGTCGCTTTGGGTTTTTTTTAAACATTCACTTTGAGGTTGGCTGTTGTAATTGTGATGCACTAGATTACTTCTTCTTTCTAATATGGAATTCTTAAAAGTTTTAAATTTTCTTTCCTGCAGGTAAAATAAAGTACTCAGAAAGAGTCTATGATGCTTGTATGGAAGCATTTGATTGTCTCCCTCTTGCTGCTCTTCTAAATCAACAGTTTCTTTGCGTTCATGGTGGACTTTCACCAGAAATTAATACACTAGATGACATTAGGAGAGTGAGTATTTTGTGTATTTGAAAATAAGTGGAAATACAGATATTTATATGGTACTGCACAAAGTCATGTGAATTTGTCAGTATATTGTTTTCTGTTCTTGTCTCTTTTGGAATTGTAAATCAGGAACTGAAATGTAGGCTAAACTATATCATAATTTAAAACTCTTGGATTATTCAGTGCATTTTCCATTACTAGATCTCACTGGGACAGCTGGAACTGTTACAAAACACACACCAAAAAAACCCTCAAAAACTTCGCGTAATTTCCTGGGACAGGTAGTACAGTAGAGCTTTATGTCACATCCAAATAGTGCTTTTTATTTCTTTCTAGATAAGAGCTAGCGTTCTCATGACTTTCAGGAAAATACTTGTAGAAGTTAACTGTAGTCTTAAAATTGTTAGGTATAGCAAACGTCGTATTTCAGTTGTTATTATATTTCCTTGAAAACTGTTTTTTTATTCTCTTGAGCACGTGGATTTTGATTTTCAAAGACTGAAGTTGGAGTATTTAAGAGAAGTTCAGATTGTTTAAAATGGCAAACTTAGTAAGCACTTGAGTAACAGCTGTCCAGTGCTTCTCACTGAGGTAAATGAGCTGAGTATTTCAGTAAAAAGAATGAAAACAAGTTTTAAAAATTATGAAATGGAAACACTAAATAGTGGTGTGCAATTTAAAGGGAAGACAACTGTGATGACATGAGGTGTCTGTTTCTAATAAGTCGGTTTCAGCTTGGGACTAAATGGACTGCTGATGCCAGGTGAAGATTGCATCAGATGGGAATTTTCAAACTTGATTGCTTTCCTTTTTGCATACTCTTTTTTTAACTTACTTTAGTTAACTTAGCTGACATCTTTACTGCTGCATTCGGAAATCAAAATCATTCCTGTTATGGTTAGTAACAGCTAAAGTGTAGTTGATTTCAGCTTAAAATATAAATAGATGGTTCTAAGAAGTCTTTGGGATTATACGTAAGGACAGAAGAAAACAGTTGTTTATCCACATATGGAGGAAGGTATGTGGGTGCCTATTTCAGAAAAGATCTAAATATCAGAAGAAAAAAAAATGTTCCTAATTTGGTTTTGTAGTATATAAATATCGATGATTAATTTTATCTTTTATCTTCATTTATTGTTCTTCTCATTTTCTTAGCATTTTCTCCTTTAGTTGTGCTCCATTTTTCTTTTTTACCTCTCCCTCTCCTCAGAGTTATAGGCTGCTGTCCAGTAGAATCTCATTTCTGAATTCCCTGGATTTTTTTTTTTTTACTGGCTGGACCATTTCAGAGGCTGGAACATCAGCTTATTGCACTTGCAGATGATATACTGTCAAGCAGAACGATGTGAGAGGAGAAGAAATTGGTAGAAACAGAGGAAGTAGTGTATTTACAAGCTCACTGGTGTCAGTATTGAGGCACATGGTGTTTTCAGAGCAAATACTAACATGTATGGAAATCTGTATGAATTGTGCAGAGAAAGAGAATTAAGAAAGCAAAGCAAGTAGACAGTGCTATTCTGACAAGGCCTTAGCGCTTCTCACATTACAAATTAAAAGAAACATGCTCAGAGCTTTTTGGAAAGTAATATAAAGGAAACATTGTCTGGAAAAACACTTTGGAAAGCAACTGTCATAATAGGATTGTGATTAATTTTTCTTTTAGTTTTAGTCTTGCAGCTAATCAGGTTTTGAAGTGTCAAATAAAGTTAATTAAAAGG